CCGGTCTGTCCGGGTGAAGTTTTTCTTGTGTGTGGACGACCGAAGCTACGAAATGAAGAAATGGGAGATGGATGAAGGCCTAGGCCTGCTGGCAGAGGAGAGAACCTTGCTCGGGTTTAATTTGGTCCTCGCCATCAGCAGCATCTCTGACAGCCTGAGAGGGCCAGGGCGTGAAGCTACGGCCAATGACGTTTCTGAGTGGCTGAAAAGTGCCAAGAAAGCTATGAGCCCCAAAGTTGTCTCCGTGTACCTCCGGATTCGGGATCGGTTCCCACCGGAGGCAGTGGTGCACCGGCTGCAGGTCAGTCCCGTTGCTCTTAGGTGATGTCCTTGTCGTCTCTGCAAGACTAAGAGCTCAGGAGCTCATTGGCCATCTGGACTCCCTTCTTGGACCTTCGAAGCACAGCTTCGCTCACACGAGCTGCTTGGAGCTGCTGGCACAAAGAACTGCGTGCCAGAAGAATCCTGCCCTGGTCCGGTCCTTGCTCTCGCGAGTCACACGAGCAAAGACAAAGCATGCTTCCCAAGGCCAACTCCCTCCTCCTCTGGGTCTTGCAGGACTTCGTGTACAGAGCCACTGTCTTGAAGGCTTCCACTCATGTTATTCCGGGACTCCGCTAGTTACCGCTAGTTCTGCCGGTTGCATCTTGTTATGTGTCTAGATGTGTTGTGCGGAGGCGAAGTCCTACAGGTATATGTATAAACATAATATATCTAGAAATTAAAAATATCTCGATATCTATCTATCTATCTATCTATCTATCTATCTATCTATACATCTATCTATGTATATATATATATATATATATTTTGCATCATGTCCTTGGTCGCCATATATTTTTACGTTTGCTGCGGCAGAGGCATGTCCCTTCACGGACAAAGGTTCATGGGTTCGCGTCACCAATATCTGTCCTAAGCCCAGAAACCCGGCAGCCGGCCTCAGGTGGATGCTGGCTTGAAAAGACATGAACTTCTTCCGTTCATTGGCCGGTCGCTGGCAAAGCGGCGCATCGTTACCTACTTTGTGAACAGGTTCAAGCCGGCAGACAAGGAGAGCCTTGCTATCTGCCAACTTGCGTCTAGTGTCTAGACTTATCTTGGTGTTTCCAGGACGGGGTGCAGTACGTTCCGGGGCGGTCTCCCGCCCAGGCCTGTATAGGTCGCTGGCTGCAGTACGATTTCTTCAGGGCGTGCCAGTCATGCTGGCCAGGTCCTCACACAGACGTTTACAAATTTCAAGAGTTTCTTGGAGAGCGGACTTTGTGGCGCCATCTTCCGCGATGCGCCACATCTTGGTTGGCTCCAGCAGCTGCCGGATTTCATGCAGGCCAATTGCTGATGTAGTAGTCTGTACGCCAGGCATTATTTGAATTTGGTTTTGCGACCAGGAGATCATTGAATTCTTAGCCGCGGTCCTCAGTGGCACGGGCAAGTATGACGAGGCCATCGACGCCCTGGTGGCAGAGAACTACTTAGTGCCGGCAGAGCGGGTGCTGGCCAACAAGGACGTATTCACTATCGATGTGGAGCTGCTCGAGAAGGACATGGCAGCCTGGTTGATACCGGACCCGCCGGCAGCTGCGGCCGTGGAGGTGAAGCCGGATTCACAGCCTGAGTCTCAGAAAGCGGAGGAACCAGGAGCTGCGCCGCTGCCGGACCAGTCAGAGCCAGATCCGATGGAGGAGCCGCTCTCCTTTGCCGCAGAGGGCCCTCCGGCGCGAGCTGAAACCTTCCGCATGCTGGTCCTCAACCGGTGCCAGCAGGACATGCTGGACAGACTTTCAGCCGATGCCTGGGAAAAGGCCCTCTTGCAGGCCACCACGAGTGCCTCGGTTCGTGATGATTCCGATTCGATGCTACGTCTTCTGCAAAAAATGAAATCTCGGTTTGCTGGACCGAGGTGCCAAAACTGCCAACATCGTTGCAGGCAACCTGGACGTTGACCTGAACGCCACTGACGGAGGGCTGGCCATCCTGCATATCATAGACTGCAACTCCGTCAATGGTATTATAAGTAGAAATCTTCACTTCATCTTGAGTTTCCACGGTTCCATAGGATACTGCACAAGTAAGGCAAGACACTGGCCATCACGGATTGCGAGAATGCCATCCGCTACCCGTTCCGTTTCGGGCCGGCGATTGATGTTGTCAAACTGAAGAACCTCATGGCCAATATCTTCGGGACGAAGGAGGGCGAGAGCAAATTCCGATCATGTGATGCAGCCCTCATCTTCGACGGCAGATCCCGCAAGTACGACAAAGAGGTCGCGAAACAGCTCAATGCTCACATCAAGTTTGTGGCGAAGGAAATTTTGCCGGCTCGGAGGTATGAAGTCTTCAGGCTGCATTACCACAACAGCTCCTGGGCTTATGTTACCTCCAGGCCGCTGTGCACCTCTGTGTGTCTTGTGTCTAAACTTTCTTTGCTCTTCGAGGAGAATTTATGGATGGCGGCGCTGTGAGAAAGAGAGCTACCTCTGCAAATCTCCAGTGTCCTGACCACCTGGAGTCCGGGATCTGCATCATGGGCAAGGATTTCAAAGCGAGCCTGGCGGTTCTTCCACGCAAGCACTTTGATGTCCCGTCGACGAGTCTCGACGGTTTCAGGCAGGTTCGTGTAGAGTATAGCACGTCTGACATGTGATACATGTATCCTGCAGTGAGGAATCAGAGCCGCGGCTTCAGTGGTTTGAACTTGAATCCGGAGCCAGTGCGGGTTACGGCCGACACCCGCTCCTGCTTGGCCTCGGGATCAACGGTGGAGCAGGGAGCGGACTTGGAGGGCGAGCAGGAGGAAGACAAGGGCCATCTGCTTTTCCCATGGGAATGGCCAGAGAATGTGTGGGATGAGATTTTCCACTCTATGGGTGCAGCTGCTGGGCAACTTGAGCGGCTTGTAGGCAATGTGATCTTGACATGCCCAGTCACAGTTGTTGAAGAATTGCGGCTGAGGATTTACCATCACACCGCTGACCAGGGCTACGCAGCTCTGGCTGCCTTGCGCCACAAGTACAAGTACAGGACATCAGCATTGAGCGAAAAACATCGGCAGCTCATCCGAGAGGTCCTCGCCTATCGGATCGTCTCGGACATCTGCTCCGGCTCCCGTGACTGGGGCCGAAAATTGCGCAGGGAAACCAGTTTGGCAGGTGACGTCCCGACAGCGGACGAGAGTGAGATCCAGCCGACGGGTTCCAAGAAACAGAAGACAGAGCAGAATGGCGACAACGAGGGCGGCGGGTGCTCCTCCGATACCTCGGGTATCACTGACGACAAGGAGCAGTGAAAGCCTGGAGAGCCCGAAGGCGGCAAGTTTTGAGACGGATGTCGCCGCTGCCTCTCCTTAGCCATCACATGGGCGATCACGTCAGGCTGAACAAGCATTAGAGGTTTATACCTGTTTGTGCCAGAGACTTGCCCCCTGGTGATTCGTCCGTGTGATTTTGAATCCTCACATGACGGATGCGCAAACGTGCACATGACAAATAGGGCTCACAACGTGGGATGGCATTGCCAACATGTCAACACATGCGGTGCAGGCTTAACCGACGTAATGTGAAGATTTTTCTCGAAGCATCCTTCGGACGCTCCAGACGCTACTCGCAACTCTGCCGGCCAGCATGGACTCTACCGGGTTCGCAGCTTTCCCTATGAATGTCGACCTCCTCTCCCCCTCGATTATGAAGCAGCAGAACATCAGCTTCTACCCCTCGGTCGCCTTGGCGGTGGCCAAGGAGTTCAGATCCATGGTGAGGGGGTGCTTTGGCTGCAGAGTCATGTTGGTGACGAATGCTCCGGCCTGTCTGTTTGTTTTACAAGGCTGGGATACAAGATGAGCGAAGGCGAGCCCGCGTCGGCAAAGAAACGAAGGGCGAGTGAGTCGGGCATGA